TTTGCTCTTGTATTGAAGAACATTGAAGAAATATTGTTTCTCCTACAGACAGGATGCTGTTGATTCAGTTGAACTAGACATGGTGAAATTCCATCTGAAATCCTGTATACCTACTTCTGATCTCCCATATTGAAGATGAATTTAGACCAGGAGTAGAATAGCGAAGATAAAGGCTGCTGTGATTATTAAGGGAACTAAAATCCTATTATAAAACTAACCAACAAACTTTGAAAGGTTCTGTAATGGCTAACAACACACATACGCAAACGTACAGGTATAAAAATGTTTATATAAGAGGGCTCGGCACTATATTCTAGAGAGAATGAGAGAAAAAGAAATGGATATTAATCCATCTATTCTTGAAACTGAATTCTTAATAGTGGTGAGGGAAGCAGCCAAACTAGTTTCAGGTGATACCCCAATGAACACATGCCTATACCAGTAGCGATAAGGCAGTTTTGCATTTGCTACCACCCTGCAAGACCAACTCAGAGCAAAATGGCTTGAGATATTTTCATCATCAGGACAGCTCCAACTATCCATATACAATTGCTCCAGTGTTTGAACTTCTGGCCCATTCAGTAACTTCTCAGTTCCACACAAAACTCGTTGGATTTCTCAGACCTTCAGGACTGCTACTCAAGGCTTTTTGCTCTGCTCCCCCTAAGGGAAGATTAGTTTCATCCCCACACAGGCAGTGAAGGACAAAATGCATCAGGGAGATGAAGCAAAGCCATGTCATGCGGTGCTATTGCTGAGAAAGCCCAAACTCCAAGTGAAAGTAGTAAGTTCTGTCAGCCTAGACCTTATCTATGGCCTCAGCCAGATTTTGTTTTATTTACCTTTCAGCTCCTGTAATGTTGCCATGTACTGACAAGCAATTGTATTTCACTCTTCAGATGCTTGTACTTGAAGGGGAGCAATACAGTTTTTGACAGTCTGCTCTGTGTAACTCAAACTTTGCTATTGTTGCCAGAAAGCACAGCATGTTTTTTATGACAAAAGTTAAATAAAGCTTTACAAAGTAAACAGAATGTAATATGGATTTTTATTACTTTTTTATAATAAGTCACTTTCTCTCTCCTTGGTATTTTTCCCATTACTTCATGCTGGTGCTCTGACAGTATCCAAAGGCCAGTCAGAATTAAGACAAAATCAGGTACCTGTGCATTTCAAATGGCTTGGGAAACATAATCCCTTCCCCAAAGGGCTCCTCTGATTCATGCTGCATGCTTATTTTGGACAGACAGGACTGATAAAGCATAATAGACAAAACACGTCAGAAATACCAAACAACTGTATCAAAGATGCTCTGACTTCATGGAAAAAAAGTGTCAAATATCCCTCACGCTCCATTCTGACCCTCAGTTACTACTACCTCTCAACATGTCAAATATCAGCGCCTCAAAATTGTCTCCCTGGTACCAGCAGTGCTGTATAGAACAGGCAGATTGCATGGGGAGGTATTGCCAGTGATCCATTCCACACACAGTTTAAAAGCTGATACAGTCCTGGCTCAGCAACTTGTGCCCTCTACTTCTGCACCCTTACACATCCCCACATGGGGGTAAAAATGCTTTCAGCTCTGAGCTCCCAGACATACTGCCACTCACACCAAACTACTGAAATCACTGACGGAGAGATTCAGTTTAAGACTTGTAAAGACAGGTATGAAGACAATTGAAATAGTTGTCTAAGCATAGGCAACTACTTATGTAGTTGATGGTATTTAGAGAACTTTTCAGCTGACTGATGACCATAGCTACATCTACTGTGCTAAATTAAATGTGCCTGGGATTATTCTCTGCCACCGATGCCAGCCAGCACAGAAACCCCATGTTCATCTTATAAAAATTATCCCACTGTCCAAAGCAGCATGGCATCATGCAACCGGCCTCTTGAAGATGGGCTCTGGCCAACCTTAATTGCTAAATTGGGAGCAGAAATTTTCCAGCAGTGAGTTAACCCTGGCCAAAAGTGTGACAGGAAAAGCAAAGATGACTCACAGTGTCTGAGAATATTTCCTGCTATTGATGAACTTCTAGATGTAGCCTAGAGATTTACCTGAACGTGAGCTGAGTCCTCCTCTAAGCCTCAGAGTGAATTAGATGCTTTTTCTGTGACAGGAGCTAAAACACCGCATATTTGCACTACAATTTATTTGTGAGCACCAAAATGAAGTTGGTTTAATCTGGACATGAATCTCACTCAGATTGTCACTATGAAGAAACGATTATTTTTTGCCCTACAGGCAACAGTGTATCCAGGTAAAGATTAAATACCTTTAATTGATATTAAAATATCCCAAGTTACAGAGTAATTGTTTTACCCTGTTATTCATATACATATAAGCCTCCAGCAGTTCCAAAAATTATCTGTGAAATTAAAAGCTCTTTTAGAAAAAAAAAATATACCAAATACCATTTTTTCCATCCTGTTAAAACATCAAATATTGAAGATAAAGTGTTTTCCTTTCACTCTGTAGCAGCTATTTAGCATCCATTGTAAAAGAAAGAAAGTGGGACCCTTTGGCAGCTTAAAAAAAATCAAAGATTATATGAAAAATGTCTTTTTCATCATTGCAGTGCTTCTGAGGTATCAAATAGTAAAGAAATCATCTCACCCCCAATGAGTTCAGAAACATGCATTGAAAAATCTAAGCTTTAAGGAAGTGTGAAAATTAAATATTAAAAAACAATTCTTGACACTGGAAGGTCTTTGAAATATGTTAAGCCACACTGGAATTCATAGCAGGAAGCCACATTATTTCTTGACACATGGTCTATTATCTTATTTGACTCAATGAATATTCATTAGAATTTACAGTCTTCTATTATTTATCTCCTTTTATTTTTCCACAAGACCTGAGGGGAAACAAGATCACCTGCTACTTATGTTGGTTAAAATCATGAAAGAATTATATACAGTATTGCATTAACTGAGACAAATCATTAAAAATGAAAGGCTGATTGTAGATGAAAGTTGTACAGTTACTACACCTGCCTTTTGTTCTCTTTTAATGGAATGAGTCTCCAAAATACAATTTTAATACAAGTCTGTAGACCAACATTACTGTATCTCCATGTGATGCCGTGTTATGGTAAAAAGAGATACCTGTTTTGTAATGCAATGATTTTCCACTGAAGAGAATTAAATGCTGAAATTTGTCAGCCTTGCTTGGCTTACTGAGCTTTGGCAATCTTGTTGAATGATGCTGAAAAAGAGGTTGTTGTGTTCTGGAAACAACAGCTTCAGCGACTGATAAATGACAGACCAAGCATATAATTAGTGCCTCCTCAGACTTCCCAGTTTTTATCATGATGCATGGCAAATACCACTTGGGATGACTTCAGAGGTTTGTTATTCAGAGAATTTCCTAATGACCTATCATTTGTGTGCATGCTTTCCTGACTAGCTAAGGATCAGTATGCCTGAGGAGAAAAAATGATAGGAGCTGCGGCTCAAGGAGAAAAAGCTTTTGGCCTGAAGCTGTGGTAAGAGTTTTATTTGAATGTCATACATATGAATGCAAAAAAAAAAAAAAAAAAAGACATACAGCCTGATTATGCCAGCACACTCAACAGTAACTGGAGGCAAGGAGTCCTTCAGGTATATAGAGAATAATAAATCACCTTTCACAGTGTTTGTCAAAGGAGTAAAAAGAGCCATGTCTCAATTCACCCATTTTTTTTTTTAATAATAACATAAGGTTTTATGCCAATACTCTGGTAATTTTATATATGGCATCCATTGACAATATGCAAAATTAAAGTTCCAGCTCCTAAAAGATGTTCATTTATTTTTGTCCATAGGAATGTCCTCAAACTACCACCAAACTCTCACTGAAAATGAAAGAAATTGTATTATTTTTGGTATTATGGTATTCAAATGCACCTCTCTAGTAGTAATTGCTATTGCAAAAGCATTTATGAGGTGAAGAGAGGTAACATAGCAGCATCTTGCAAGGGAACAGATTTTAATTCCTTCATATGCCACAGCTAGAGGATGGTATCCAGGATGGTATCCAGCATAATTTCAGCCTGGAGAAAAGGAGACTCAGGGGCGACCTTATTGCTCTCTACAGGTACCTTAAAGGAGGCTGTAGCGAGGTGGGGGTTGGTCTGTTCTCCCACATGCCTGGTGACAGGATGAGGGAGAATGGGCTAAAGTTGCACCAGGGTAGGTTTAGGTTAGATATCAGGAAGAACTTCTTTACCGAAAGGGTTGTTAGAACATTGGAACAGGCTGCTCAGGGAAGTGGTGGAGTCACCATCCCTGGGTGTCTTTAAAAGACATTTAGATGTAGAGCTCAGTGATATGGTTTAGTGGAGGACTGGTTAGTGTTAGGTCAGAGGTTGGACTCGATGATCTTGGAGGTCTCTTCCAACCTAGATAGTTCTGTGTTTCTGTTGCAGTCTCCCAGCTCAGAGCCAGCCACCTATTAGTCTGGCGCAAGGGATTTGTGTGTTCCTTGCACTAGCTGTTCCTTCACCTCCTCTTCACATACAAGGACACGCATCTCTTTCACGCTCCTTCAGGAGTAAACAAGCCAGGAGAGATTAAAGCCTCTTTCTTCAGGTCAGTAAGATCCCTGCCTTTGGTTTCAGTGAGAATTCAGGCCCTAAAAACTCAAGTGTCTTCTGGACGGTGTTTCTTCTGGTAGGATGATTTCATTTCTCTTTTGAAGGCTTACGGGGATGTAGTAGCAAAAGCAAAGGCATAAAACGGTACCTGAGGCACAGGCTACTTTTCAGCCTGCAGCAGACTACAGGTATGATATCATCCTTTGATATCATACCTATATCATGTTATCATATGAAGAAACGTAGAAAACTGCCTGTTGCTTCTCGGGTTTAAAGTTTTCCCTTAAAAGGTGTATGCAAAGGTGTAATCAGCTGTCTGAGTACAATTCTCACGTATACATGAGCATTTTCCTCTCCCCTTCCCAACTTGGAGTGCAACACTTTTCATCATACTGTTATAAATAAATCTCATAAAGCTAAGTTGACTTGGAATTTATGGGGTTAATAGAAGGCAAGTAAAGAGCGCTGGGTGCGCGGGGAGTCTGGGCTCCTCCAACACGCACACACGTTACATCAGGCGGCAGCTTTTTCTGCTCCTAGGCTAATACACGTTCATTACTACTTCTAGAAAAGGCAGTGTTATTATAATTAGTTCCTGGATTCCGAACCCTCCCACTGGCACATGCATATCAGTCCCCGGTGGTCCCTCTGGGGGTCTCTCGTGCTGAAGGCTCATAGTCTTCCTCCCAGGCTTTGTCCTTGTCCTTCTCCTTTGTCCATCTTGGCTGGATATCAGGTTTGCCTCTAACTCTATACAAAAAAGAGAGAGAAGCACGCCTTTCTACTCTGTCAGCTACTGGCAGACCTACAGAGAAAAAAAAAAAAGTTGTTAATTAAAAAGAAGTGTTGTTTTAAGGCATTTCACCAAATATGTTAATATTTGGTAGAAACCAGACAACAAATGAAAGGGAAGAAGAAACAGTAGAAGGTACTTGCATGACCTTAATTTACACGGCAATGGACAACAACGACAACCTGCAATGATTTACAAGTGCCTTACACCATTCACCCTTGAGACAGAAAACTGGGATTCCCATATGATGTAAGGGGAGTGCAATCCCTCTCAAAATACAAGCGCCTGGGGGACGCTACTGAGTACTGAAAATGTTAAGGCTAGGCAGCACCGAACTCAACAGAGAAGGGAGGCCGAGTCTCCCTGGCTGTTCATGTAACAGACAAGAGCCTCAGCATTTAGCCCTAAGCAACGATTCGTAGTGCCAGGCGGGGAACTAGTTCTTCTTAAGCCAGGGACCATTTCAGCATCTTTAAAGCTACAGAAAGGCTTGAAGGCTCTGTGGAATCATGTTCCTGGCACAAAAATCTGGGGACCAGGACTGGGCAAGTGGGGCACAAGTGTGCTGGGGAGCAAGCTCTCTGGACTGATTACCAGGGCTTTAAACTAGGTTTGACGGGGGAAGGGAGGGGAGCTAAAGGTGACAGAGAAGGGCTGGGGGAAGTCCTCACTACTGTTATAAATGGCTCAGTCTTCAAAATAGGACTATAATCAAAGTTTACAATTTATTAAAGGAATAGAGGTAAGCAAACAGTGCTGGGTGCGCCGGGAATCTCTGCTCCACCAAGACGCACACCAGTTACATCAAGCAGCTGATTTTTATGCTCCTAGGCTAACACATATTCATTACTGCTTCTAAAAAAAATAAAAACAGGGTTATTATAATTAGTTTCCAGAATCCAAACCCTCCTACTGGAGCATGCGTAACAGTCTCCGGTGGTCCCTCTGGGGGTCTCTCATGCTGAAGGCTCATAGTCTTCCTCCCTCTGGTCCTTCTCCTTTGTCCAGCTTGGCTGTAAGAGACTTGTGCAGCATCCCCTGCAAGCTTTGTCTTTTAGTCATTCTTCAGCTTTCCCCGTCTCCTTAGTCTCCTGGCCAGATACCAGAGACTTGCATAGTGTCCCATGCAATAGTCATAATAGTTAGCAGCTATTCTGAACCCCCCCAGATATCAGAGACTTCAAGTAAATGCCTACAAATACATTTCCCTTCAAGCTCTTTATTGACACAAATTGCTAAAACATTCCTTTGCAAGGTACAAGAACTACATACATGTACATTAACCACTCTGTTTTTCTTAGACTTGTGCTTATAGAAGGGTCTGTAGGACAGAAGGTCACATTCATCATACCATGCAGCCCTAGCATTGTTCCATACTACCACGGATCAGATGAACACATTTCACACCACTGTCACTGTTGAAGACAGGGAAAAACTTCTGAGCTCTCCCATAGGATTGTCTGAGGGCTCCTCAGAGAAGGTAGCATTCCCAATCCCCCGTCCAGTATCTTCTTGTTGCATCCCCCCGGGGTAACTGTACCTGCTGCTTCCCGAAAAAGCCTGTGCACGGACCGTGGAAAATAAACAGGATGAGCTCAAGGTCTGCGTTCGGACACGGGGCCACGATCTCGTTGCGATCATTGAGATGTGGTGGGACAGGGGCCCTGGAGGACTAAAGGGGCCCTGGAGGACTAAAGGGGCCCTGGAGGACTAAAGGGGCCCTGGAGGACTAAAGGGGCCCTGGAGGACTAAAGGGGCCCTGGAGGACTAAAGGGGCCCTGGAGGACTAAAGGGGCCCTGGAGGACTAAAGGGGCCCTGGAGGACTAAAGGGGCCCTGGAGGACTAAAGGGGCCCTGGAGGACTAAAGGGGCCCTGGAGGACTAAAGGGGCCCTGGAGGACTAAAGGGGCCCTGGAGGACTAAAGGGGCCCTGGAGGACTAAAGGGGCCCTGGAGGACTAAAGGGGGCCCTGGAGGACTAAAGGGGCCCTGGAGGACTAAAGGGGCCCTGGAGGACTAAAGGGGCCCTGGAGGACTAAAGGGGCCCTGGAGGACTAAAGGGGCCCTGGAGGACTAAAGGGGCCCTGGAGGACTAAAGGGGCCCTGGAGGACTAAAGGGGCCCTGGAGGACTAAAGGGGCCCTGGAGGACTAAAGGGGCCCTGGAGGACTAAAGGGGCCCTGGAGGACTAAAGGGGCCCTGGAGGACTAAAGGGGCCCTGGAGGACTAAAGGGGCCCTGGAGGACTAAAGGGGCCCTGGAGGACTAAAGGGGCCCTGGAGGACTAAAGGGGCCCTGGAGGACTAAAGGGGCCCTGGAGGACTAAGGGGCCCTGGAGGACTAAAGGGGCCCTGGAGGACTAAAGGGGCCCTGGAGGACTAAAGGGGCCCTGGAGGACTAAAGGGGCCCTGGAGGACTAAAGGGGCCCTGGAGGACTAAAGGGGCCCTGGAGGACTAAAGGGGCCCTGGAGGACTAAAGGGGCCTGGAGGACTAAAGGGGCCCTGGAGGACTAAAGGGGCCCTGGAGGACTAAAGGGGCCCTGGAGGACTAAAGGGGCCTGGAGACTAAAGGGCCCTGGAGGCCTAAAGGGGCCCTGGAGGACTAAAGGGGCCCTGGAGGACTAAAGGGGCCCCTGGAGGACTAAAGGGGCCCTGGAGGACTAAAGGGGCCCTGGAGGACTAAAGGGCCCTGGAGGACTAAAGGGCCCTGGAGGACTAAAGGGGCCCTGGAGGACTAAAGGGGCCCTGGAGGACTAAAGGGGCCCTGGAGGACTAAAGGGGCCCTGGAGGACTAAAGGGGCCCTGGAGGACTAAAGGGGCCCTGGAGGACTAAAGGGGCCCTGGAGGACTAAAGGGGCCCTGGATGACTAAAGGGGCCCTGGAGGACTAAAGGGGCCCTGGAGGACTAAAGGGGCCCTGGAGGACTAAGGGGCCCTGGAGGACTAAAGGGGCCCTGGAGGACTAAAGGGGCCCTGGAGGACTAAAGGGGCCCTGGAGGACTAAAGGGGCCCTGGAGGACTAAAGGGGCCCTGGAGGACTAAAGGGGCCCTGGAGGACTAAAGGGGCCCTGGAGGACTAAAGGGGCCCTGGAGGACTAAAGGGGCCCTGGAGGACTAAAGGGGCCCTGGAGGACTAAAGGGGCCCTGGAGGACTAAAGGGGCCCTGGAGGACTAAAGGGGCCCTGGAGGACTAAAGGGGCCCTGAGGACTAAAGGGGCCCTGGAGGACTAAGGGGCCTGGAGACTAAAGGGGCCCTGGAGGACTAAAGGGGCCCTGGAGGACTAAAGGGGCCCTGGAGGACTAAAGGGGCCCTGGAGGACTAAAGGGGCCCTGGAGGACTAAAGGGGCCCTGGAGGACTAAAGGGGCCCTGGAGGACTAAAGGGGCCCTGGAGGACTAAGGGGCCCTGGAGGACTAAAGGGGCCCTGGAGGACTAAAGGGGCCCTGGAGGACTAAAGGGGCCCTGGAGGACTAAAGGGGCCCTGGAGGACTAAAGGGGCCCTGGAGGACTAAAGGGGCCCTGGAGGACTAAAGGGGGCCCTGGAGGACTAAAGGGGCCCTGGAGGACTAAAGGGGCCCTGGAGGACTAAAGGGGCCCTGGAGGACTAAAGGGGCCCTGGAGGACTAAAGGGGCCCTGGAGGACTAAAGGGGCCCTGGAGGACTAAAGGGGCCCTGGAGGACTAAAGGGGCCCTGGAGGACTAAAGGGGCCCAGTGGGAGGACTAAAGGGAAAGGGCCCTGGAGGACTAAAGGGGCCCTGGAGGACTAAAGGGGCCCTGGAGGACTAAAGGGGGCCCTGGAGGACTAAAGGGCCCTGGAGGACTAAAGGGGCCCTGGAGGACTAAAGGGGCCCTGGAGGACTAAAGGGGGCCCTGGAGGACTAAAGGGGCCCTGGAGGACTAAAGGGGCCCTGGAGGACTAAAGGGGCCCTGGAGGACTAAAGGGGCCCTGGAGGACTAAAGGGGCCCTGGAGGACTAAGGGGGCCCCTGGAGGACTAAAGGGGCCCTGAGACAAGGGGCCCTGGAGGCTAAAGGGGCCCTGGAGGACGAAAGGGGCCCTGTGGAGGACTAAAGGGGCCCTGGAGGACTAAAGGGGCCCTGGAGGACTAAAGGGGCCCTGGAGGACTAAAGGGGCCCTGGAGGATCTAAAGGGGCCCTGGAGGACTAAAGGGGCCCGGAGGGACTAAAGGGGCCCGGAGGACTAAAGGGGCCCTGGAGGACTAAAGGGGCCCTGGAGGACTAAAGGGGCCCTGGAGGACTAAAGGGGCCTGGAGGACTAAAGGGGCCTGGAGGACTAAAGGGGCCCTGGAGGACTAAAGGGGCCCTGGAGGACTAAAGGGGCCCTGGAGGACTAAAGGGGCCCTGGAGGACTAAGGGCCCTGGAGGACTAAAGGGGCCCTGGAGGACTAAAGGGGCCCTGGAGGACTAAAGGGGCCCTGGAGGACTAAAGGGGCCCTGGAGGACTAAAGGGGCCCTGGAGGACTAAAGGGGCCCTGGAGGACTAAAGGGGCCCTGGAGGACTAAAGGGTCCCTGGAGGACTAAAGGGGCCCTGGAGGACTAAAGGGGCCCTGGAGGACTAAAGGGGCCCTGGAGGACTAAAGGGGCCCTGGAGGACCTAAAGGGGCCCTGGAGGACTAAAGGGGCCCTGGAGGACTAAAGGGGCCCTGGAGGACTAAAGGGGCCCTGGAGGACTAAAGGGGCCCTGGAGGACTAAAGGGGCCCTGGAGGGACTAAAGGGGCCCTTGAGGACTAAAGGGGCCCTGGAGGACTAAAGGGGCCCTGGAGGACTAAAGGGGCCCTGGAGGACTAAAGGGGGCCCTGGAGGACTAAGGGGCCCTGGAGGACTAAAGGGGCCCTGGAGGACTAAAGGGGCCCTGGAGGACTAAAGGGGGCCCTGGAGGACTAAAGGGGGCCCTGGAGGACTAAAGGGCCCTGGAGGACTAAAGGGGCCCTGGAGGACTAAAGGGGCCCTGGAGGACTAAAGGGGCCCTGGAGGACTAAAGGGGCCCGGGAGGA